TCCTTCCCTCTTTCCTCACCCTCTCCCTGTTTCCTTCACTCCTTCCCTCTTTCCTCACCCTCTCCTTGTTCCTTCACTCCTTCCCTCTTTCCTCACCCTCTCCTTGTTTCCTTCACTCCTTCCCTCTTTCCTCACCCTCTCCCTGTTTTCCTCCTTCCTTCTCTTCCTCCTCCTCGTCTCTGGATCAGGTGGAGTCTGACTCATTGTGGACTTTTAAACTCATTAACTCTCTCTCCCTCCTCCACTCTCTCTCCGTCCTCCACCACTCTCTCCCTCCTCCACCAATCACCCTCCCTCCCTCTTCATCACCCAAGTTCCTCCCTCCTCCTGTCACCATCACCTCTCTCTCTCCCTCACCATCCCCTCAGTTCCTCCCTCCCTCCCCTCACCATCACCCCAGGAGTCAGGTGGGGGAGAATGTGGCCCGGGGCGACGGAAGTCACGTGCGGCGGGGAGAATAAACCTGAGTTTTTGTGCTGTAGTGACTCTCCCCTGCGGCCATTACCAGGCGTCCATATAGCACCTAGTGTGTGTGTGTGGAGAGAGAGGACACACACACACACACACGCACGCACGCACGCACACACACACACACACTTCCGTCTGGTTCAGGTGAAAATAGATTTTACATTCTGGCTCGTGTCTCTCTCCCCTCACCTCCCCTCATCACCTCTCCTTACCACCCTCCTTCTCTACTCGTTCTTCTTCCCTCTATTTACCTCACCCTTCCCTTCTCCCTCAGTCTCTCTCTCCCTCCTCCTTCTTTCTTCTGTTTTCCTCCTCCTATTTCTTCTTTTCCTCGCCTCCTCCTTCTTCTTTCTTCTTCCTCTCTCCCCCTCCACCCCTCCTCCCGGGGTGATAACTCAGGCATGTCCACCCAGGTCTTGCAGATGTGTGTTAGTTTTTTTTTTTTTAGAGAAAGTTAGGTGAAGGAAGATTAGAGGTGGGGGAAGGAAGTTATAGTTCGGAAATTGAAGAAATTCAGGAGGAGGTAAGAGAGGGCGGGCTGACCGCCTAGCTACGTGAGCTAATAGTGTGTTAGGGTTGTGTCATGGGTTAGTTATTGTCTGTCAGTACAGGCACTAGACATCCTACCCTGTTCCATATATGGGTGTTTTAAGGGCCTTATTTCATATTCCGCCGACCCTACTGGCGGATGCTGGTCAAGGGAGGTTGTCTATTGCCTGGCCGTGTAGATCGGAGTGGTAATGGACCTCGCCTTATCTCCCTCCCCTCCTCTTCCCTTCCCCTCGCCCCTACAGCACCTCCTGTATAAACATATCACACCCACAGCATGTGTGTGTGTGTGTGTGTGTGTGTGTGTGTGTGTGTAATAATAATAATAATTAACGGTTTATTGAAAAAAGTTCTGCAGCCCGAAGGCTGAAAATATACATTGGACATAAATGACTTATTACGTATATTAGTGGTTTAACAAAAGCCTTCATGAGAGAAAGGTAAAGGAACATACAGTGAACATACAGATTAATGTTTACAGTGGAGGTCACGTAGATCATGTGTGCTGAAGTGTTGAACAGCAGACACGTAGTGTAGTAACTCCCTCACAGATGTGTGAGTGTGTGTGTGTGTGTGTGTGTGTGTGTGTGTGTGTGTGTGTGTGACCTCGTTAATGTACACAAGATTTACACACAAACATATACAACAACTCTTCCACAAAAAAGTCATCACCACCACCAACAAAGTCATCACCACCACCAACAACAGTCATCACCACCAACAAGTCATCACCAACTTGCCTCCATTAATACCTGGAAACTTGAAAAGCTGGAGGTAAACCAGATTCATTAAGACCCAACAGGTAAGAACGGCCCAGTGTTATGTTTCATTATATACATAAATATACAGGGTGTACCTGTTAAGGCGGACACTACCACTACCACCACTACTACCACAACCACTACCACCACTACCACAACCACGCACTACCGCCACAACCTCTCTCTCTCTGATTGAGTTTGATTAGGTTAGGTTGGGGTTGGTTTGGTTAGGTTAGGTGGAGACAGTACAGGCGAGGAGGTATGGCGGGGCCGGGAGGGCGGAGGGGTGACAGGTCATGGGCGGCAGGTACAGTCACCTCACAGGTAATATGAGCCGCCCACTGACAGGACAGGTGGGATGGTCGCCGTAGGGGTGGGAGAAGGTGTGGGGGGGTGATGGGAGAGGTGGAAGGGGGGGGGGTAGGTGGAGGTGATGGAAAGGGCAGAGAGGTGTGAGGGTGATGGGAAGGGGTATTGGGGTGATGGGAGAGGGGGAAGGAGGGGGTGTGAGGGTGATAATAACAATAGCAACAGCATAGAGAGAGGGAAGATGTAAACATATAAATAACATAAATAACAATAAATTATAAAAAAAATAAACCTCTTTTTCTCACCTACTATAAAAATCATATATTTGTATTTCGTTAATATAAGTTATAAGAGACATAGGGACTTGTCTTGTATGATAGCTGTTATAGTATAGACACACACACCTGTCACAATCAGTCATGGATGAAATAACACACAGACGTGACAAACACCTGACTCCCCACCATCTCTCATCTCCCCATCACAGTCGTAACACCATATACATTACCTACACACACTCTAAACACAGTAACTTCACAAGGTCACCAGGCACAGCAGTTAATAAGAGCTACACCTGTCTAAACTTTCCACCTGCCAACACCTGTCTAAAATTTTCACCTGCCAACACCTAAGCCCTTCATTAATTAGCATGGCCCTTGATCACCCACCCACCCACCCACCCACACACACACACACTCACAACACACACACCCCCCCACAAACACACTCACACCACACACACCTTACCTGGTAACTCCCATAAGGTAAGGATCCCAATAAACAGTCTCTTGCACTACTGATCTGCCTCTCTCTCTCCCTTCCAGTCTTATATACCATCTAAACTGCTCCATATAAGTGTTCGAAGCCTCACGTGTTTTATACCAGGTTTAATTGGTTTAGGTGTTGTCCCGCTCTCTATTGTGGTGTATGTGTGACGTGGCGGCTATTCCTTTAACAACTACCACCATTACTACCACCATTGTCATTACCACCACCACTAAACACAAACTATCCCCCCACCATAAACCACTCACCCCCACCTCAACACTCCCATCCATCCATCACACACAAAACCTCCCCCCCCTCCTTCTTCACCTCTCCCCCCCTCCCTCACTAAGACACAAAGACATGAGGCATCAGGTAGGCGTGACTCATCTTCTAGGACCCCCCACCGTCACCCGCGCCCACCACACACCCCCACCCGCGCCCACCGTCACCCCCACCACACACATACATACAAAAACATTTATATACAAATATATACATACATACATACAGTACATACACACACATCAACCAACACACACACATTCTGGCCCCTAAAACAAACAGACAGACATAGAGCCCGTCAAGGTGAGCGATAGATTATCCTTTCTCACCTGTCAAATACCTGAGCCCCGTCTATCACTGTGATGGACGGCAGGTGGTGTTAGGGGGAGACGGTAACCTGCCCCACCCACTGGCACCTGTCTACAACCATCTTACCTAAACTAACCTCACCTAACTTAACCTAACCCACTCCACCCACCTCACCTAACCCACTCCTCTCTTCCTACAAATATATTAACATTATAAAGATAATTACAGTATTAATAAATATAAAATCACAATAATAATTAATTTGAAATAAAATCCCTGATAAAATCTGGTAATAAAAATTCATATTAATATCTGGAAATAAAACCTGGTAATAAAATCCTTAATAAAATCTGGTAATAAAATCCATAATAAAATCTGGTAATAAAAATTCATAATAATATCTGGAAATAAAATCTGGTAATAAAATCCCTGATAAAATCTGGTAATAAAATCCCTGATAAAATCTGGTAATAAAAATTCATAATAATATCTGGAAATAAAATCCCTGATAAAATCTGGTAATAACATCCCTGATAAAATCTGGTAATAAAATCCTTGATAGAATCTGGTAATAAAAATTCATAATAATATCTGGAAATAAAATCTGGTAATAAAATCGGGCACAATAATAAAAACCAAGTCCTATTTCCTAAGTTTTTATTTACATGTACAAAATTACTGTAATTAAAGCTTTACCTTAGCAAAATGTTTTAAATAACATAAAATAAACATTACAAAAGACTAGATAATACAGTTATTAATCATTACAGAGAAAGAAACAGACAGACAGACAATAAAACCCAAAAGATAATAATGACAAACTTATTAAATCCTTCAAAGATAAATGAGATGTAGGAAATAAGATCAAATAAACAGAACAAATGTTATTATCATCTAAGTTTACAAACACACACAGCAGAGGTAGTTACGTACGGTTAAACATTAAATATTTAAGGGTAACATGAAGAATAGCACACCCCAAATTCATTTATTTTACCTGTACTAATACTATACGTTAATGTTTTGTGTATATATATGGGAGTGAGGTGTGGTAGGGTAGGTTAGATTAGGTTTGTATGAAGTTAGGTTAGAATTAAGTCAGGTTAGATTAGGCTAGGATAAAAATAGGTTATAATTAAGTTAAGTTACATTAGGCTAAGATAAAAATAGGTTATAGTTAAGTTAAGTTACATTAGGCTAAGATAAAGTTAGGTTAAGTTAAGTTACGATGAGGTTAAGTTGGGTTAGGTTAGCATTAGGGTGTTTACTCATCAGGTACAATAATGAAAACTGGGGTTCCTAATCTACACCTGACCCCCTACTCCATTTATAAATTACTAAAGCCAACACCATATACTAACACACACACAGACACAGCTTCTCTCATACACAAACTTTGACTAGCACATTCTGAATAAACAATAATAACTAAATAAAGCCCGTTAATTCTTCTTTGTTTACTGTTTACACATATTTACAAATCACTGCCAGTTAAGGAAAGACTAGTTTACATTCATTTACAGTTATTCTCCCCAAAATAAATAAATTAGTCTCCATCTTGTTTACACAATTAAAGAAACAAAACAACTGAACTTGGAATACCCAAATTATTTCCTTTTAAATTGTGTAACTTCCTGTGATCTGAGGCAACACATCTCTCTCTCTCTCTGTAGTGTACTAGGATGTGCTATAGTGTACACAACATATAGCATTCTTCTAGACAGTTACCTGCACAGTACTAAGATGTGCTTAATGTACAGTACACCGCCAACAACATCCACCACAATCTCCTGGAGTCTAAATGAAGTTCCTCAACACAATAATCTTCTACAAGTTGGAGGAGGACGTTTCTTGAAGTTCCTCCTCCTTGACACCAAACCTCTACTACAACTTGGCCCTCATGCTCGAAGTTGGAGGAGGACCTTCTTGTGAGGAGGTTGGTGGAGGTGGTCCTGGAGGCTGGAGGGCGCAGGACGCTTCTTGGTGAGCTGTGTGTGGTGGTGGTGGTGTGTCTCTCCTGCTAGGGGACTGCTGCTGGCTGCCAAGGTCTTCTGAGGTCTCACGTAATCTGTGTAGAAAAAGAGGAGTAAAAATATGAAATTACATTCAACGTCAGACCTAATTATTGTGTTATCTTTATCGCCTAAGAAATAATAATTTTAATAGTAAACTGAACGCGACTATTTAATTTTTAAGGTATATTCAACGTGGCTAATTAATTTTGGCATTAATTGGAATAAAATCGTCATCACTATATATCAACTGCTATAGTATTATTATTCTTTTATAGTATAACTTATATACTTAACACTATCATGACTATTGTGTATATATAACTGAGGTAATTAATTAACAGGTAAATAGTAGGGTACATGTAATTGTGAGATTAATTATACCACCTAGCTTCTGTCAACAGTATATATCGTAATTAACATTTCTGGTGTTTTTCTGTAATTATATTGTATTTTTTTGTTTTTTCTTTGATTATATTGTGGTGTTGGTGTTTTTCTGTGATTGTTTTGTATTTTTCGGTGTTTTTCTGTAATTATATTGTGGTGTTGGTGTTTTTCTGTAATTATATTGTATTTTTGGTGTTTTTCTGTGATTGTTTTGTATTTTTCGGTGTTTTTCTGTAATAATATTGTGGTTCTGGTGTTTTTCTGTGATTATATTGTGGTTTTGGTGTTTTTCTGTGATTGTTTTGTATTTTTCGGTGTTTTTCTGTAATTATATTGTGGTGTTGGTTTTTTTCTGTAATTATATTGTATTTTTGGTGTTTTTCTGTGATTGTTTTGTATTTTTCGGTGTTTTTCTATAATTATATTGTATTTTTTTGTTTTTTCTTTGATTATATTGTGGTGTTGGTGTTTTTCTGTGATTGTTTTGTATTTTTCGGTGTTTTTCTGTAATTATATTGTGGTGTTGGTGTTTTTCTGTAATTATATTGTATTTTTGGTGTTTTTCTGTGATTGTTTTGTATTTTTCGGTGTTTTTCTGTAATAATATTGTGGTTCTGGTGTTTTTCTGTGATTATATTGTGGTTTTGGTGTTTTTCTGTGATTGTTTTGTATTTTTCGGTGTTTTTCTGTAATTATATTGTGGTGTTGGTTTTTTTCTGTAATTATATTGTATTTTTGGTGTTTTTCTGTGATTGTTTTGTATTTTTCGGTGTTTTTCTATAATTATATTGTATTTTTTTGTTTTTTCTTTGATTATATTGTGGTGTTGGTGTTTTTCTGTGATTGTTTTGTATTTTTCGGTGTTTTTCTGTAATTATATTGTGGTGTTGGTGTTTTTCTGTAATTATATTGTATTTTTGGTGTTTTTCTGTGATTGTTTTGTATTTTTCGGTGTTTTTCTGTAATAATATTGTGGTTCTGGTGTTTTTCTGTGATTATATTGTGGTTTTGGTGTTTTTCTGTGATTGTTTTGTATTTTTCGGTGTTTTTCTGTAATTATATTGTGGTGTTGGTTTTTTTCTGTAATTATATTGTATTTTTGGTGTTTTTCTGTGATTGTTTTGTATTTTTCGGTGTTTTTCTATAATTATATTGTATTTTTTTGTTTTTTCTTTGATTATATTGTGGTGTTGGTGTTTTTCTGTGATTGTTTTGTATTTTTCGGTGTTTTTCTGTAATTATATTGTGGTGTTGGTGTTTTTCTGTAATTATATTGTATTTTTGGTGTTTTTCTGTAATTATATTGGGAGTGGTTGGTTTTTTTCTGTAATTATATTGTATTTTGGTGTTTTTCTGTGATTGTTTTGTATTTTCGTTGTTTTCTGTAATTATATTGTGGTATTTGGGTTTTCTGTAAATTATATTGTATTTTAGTGTTTTCTGTTGTTGTTTTGTATTTTCAGTGTTTTTCTGTAATTATATTGTGGTTTCGGGTTTTTTTCTGTGATTGCCTTGTATTTTTTAATTTTTTCTGTGATTAATTTTTCTTCCACGTTTGAACAAGAAATATGAGGTCCAGATTTTAGTCAAACCTCGTACACAAACAAATATTCTCACAAAAGTTACATCTTCCAAATCACTGTCGAAACCTAACCTAACCAAACCTACCTAACATAACTGACTAGCTACTTCAAAACTACTATAACTATAAACCTACCTAACCAAACCTACCCTAACCCTAACCAAACCTACCTAACCAAACCAAACCTACCTAACCAAACCAAACCTACCTAACCTAACCAAACCTACCTAACCTAACCAAATCTACCTAACATAACCAAACCTACCTAACCTAACCAAACACAATAACCTTGCCCCAACCATTAAACGAATATTAACATTATTATTATTATCATCGTCATCATCAAGGTGCACAATGGTGGTGTTATGGCGTGAAACTGTCGTAGAGGTTACTGATTGTTTACATAATGCGTCATCAGATTTCACCTTCACGTTACCTCAGATCATGTGCACAGAATAACACTCCTTGGGGCGTGAGGGGGGGGTTGAGTGGGGGGCGTGAGGGGGGTTGAGTGGGGGGGCGTGAGAGGGGTATAACTTAAATCCTTCATGGGTTTGATGTCACAAACCTAACTTAACCCAACTAAATTTAACCTAACTTAACGTAACCTATTAAAGCCTAGCCTAATGTAGTCTAACCTAAACTAACCTAACCTGCGAGTTAACATCTAGCAGTGATAGTACAGTAACTAACACAGGAATATAATAAAGATGTTAACTGTGTGTTACGTTACAAGGTTGTGTGTGTTAGGTGATAATGTTAACAGTTTAAAGATGTGTGTTACGGCTGTGTTAAATGACAGTGTAGTTACGTCACCACTACAGTATAAACATGACCATGTGTTTAGCCTCCACCTACACTGACTCGTCTTCTGTGTGTGTGTGTGTGTGTGTGTACGTGACTCACCTGTGATGCTGGTCTGGCGGAGTCTGGAGGTGTGTGGAGGTGGTGACGGGACCTCCTCCTCCACTGCGGCGTCTCCTTCTCCCTCCACCTCCACACCAACTGTCTGTCTGTCGCTCTCAGCTGGTTGTCCCTGGCTGTCTCCTTGGGCTGTCTGTGAGTTAACATGCTGGCTGTTGTCTCCACCTGTCTGTGCGTCTGCTGCCCCCGGACTGTCTTTCACACGCAGCTGCTTGTCTTCCTCTGCTGTCTGTTTGTCTTGCTGGCTGTTGTCTTCACTTCGCTGACAGTTTTCTTCGGTTGTTTGTTTGTCATTCTCGGTCGGGAGCTGGGAGCGAGGGAGGTCAGGTGGCAGGTGGCGGCAGCGTGACGCCCCGCCGCCGGCCCCGACAGGTGTGTGAGGACAGATGTTCCCCGGACACCTGTGCAGGTCACTCACCCCACTAAGACTCACCGAGAGGTCGTTTACAGGTAAAGTGAGACAGGTGTTCAGATCGTTTTGCCGCTGATCGCCACCTGCCGCGCCACCTTCAGGATCAGTAGGCGTCCAGTTGAAGCGTCCTGAGTGCAGAGGGACGCCCATGATGGGGTCAAAATTCCACTTTTTGGTGAAGTCCTCGGCGGAGATGGTGAGGAGGGATTCAGCCATCTGGAGGTTACGCTTGGAGTCGTTGTCTCCCAGGATGGACAACGCCCTCCTGGCTCGCCCACGCTTGAGGCTCAACCTTCTCCTTACTAGGCTGTAGCACTACCATGGTACAGCACCTCCTCACCACTACAAGACAAGACCCTCCGCCACTCTCGCTTCACCACTCACAGTAACTACCACCACTACGACAAGTGTTTCCCTGTGGTGGTGGAGCCTCGCATCTGTCACTGACGCGTGGGAGGCTAACTGCGTGACCAACCTCTCCTAACAGACGCTCAGGAGGTACTGAGGGATGCGACTGGCGAGTGGGCGAGTGAGTGAGTGAAGCTGTGGGGGCTCGCGACGCTCACCTGAACCAACCATCTCGCTTTTGTAATTTTGTATATTTTTTTTACCTTTCTCTCTAAATCCTCCCATTAACACCAAGGATCACCCGTGACATAAACCACCACAAAATACATCCACTGACACCAACATTTCTTTACATAAACCAAATATATAAGATTTTTTTAAATATCATTGATTTTGGCAACACTCAGCAGAGGAGACGAGGAGGGGTGAGCGTGACGTCACGAGATTTCAAGTTTCTGATTGGTTGGGTTCTGACGCCCACACAGGAAGGAAGCTATACGGAACAGTCACACGTAAGCACACACAAACACGGCAAGCGTACACACACTTCCACACACACACACGGCAAGCGCACACACACACACACACACACACACATATATGGCAAGCGTACACATACGGCAAGCGTACACACACACACACATGGCAAGCGTACACACACACACTTCCACACACACAAACACGGCAAGCGTACATGCACTTCCACACAAATGGCAAAGGCGCTCACACGCACACAGCTCACACACACACACACACACACACACACACACTCTCCGTATGTGTGTGTGTCCTACAAACTCCAGCTAATAACAGACTTAAATACTGTGGAAAAACAATACAAAATAATATAATAAATCAGTTAAATGTTAACAAGAAAGACATAACAAACACTTACCTGGATGTCTACCTGGAATGTCTACCTGGAGATGTCTACCTGGAGATGTCTTCCTGGAATGTCTACCTGGAATGTCTTCCTGGAGATGTCTACCTGGAGATGTCTTCTGGAGATGTCTACCTGGAGATGTCTACCTGGAGATGTCTACCTGGAGATGTCTACCTGGAGATGTCTACCTGGAGATGCCTGGAGATGTCTACCTGGAGATGTCTACCTGGAGATGTCTGCCGGATGTCTGCGAGATGTCTACCTGGAGATGTCTTACCTGCAGATGTCTGGAGATGTCTACCGGAGATGTCTACCTGGAGATGTCTACCTGGAATCTACCTGGAGATGTCTGGAGATGTCTACCTGGAGTGTCTGCAGATGTCTGCGAGATGTCACTGGAGATGTCTACCTGGAGATGTCTTCCTGGAGATGTCACAGATGTCATCCTGGAGATGTCCTGGAGATGTCTTCCTGGAATGTCTACCTGGAGATGTCTACCTGGGAGATCCACCTGGAATGTCTACCTGGAGATGTCCCACCTGGAGATGTCTACCTGGAGATGTCTTCCTGGAGATGTCCACCTGGAGATGTCTACCTGGAGATGTCTACCTGGAGATGTCTGCCTGGAGATGTCCACCTGGAGATGTCTTCCTGGAGATGTCTACCTGGAATGTCTTCCTGGAGATGTCTACCTGGAGATGTCCTGGAGATGTCTACCGGAGATGTCTTCCTGGAGATGTCTACCTGGAGTGTCTACCTGGAGATGTCTACCTGGAGATGTCTACCTGGAGATGTCTACCTGGAGATGTCTACCTGGAGATGTCTACCTGGAGATGTCTACCTGGAGATGTCTACCTGGAGATGTCTACCTGGAGATGTCTGGAGATGTCTACCTGGAGATGTCTACCTGGAGATGTCTACCTGGAGATGTCTACCTGGAGATGTCTACCTGGAGATGTCTACCTGGAGATGTCTACCTGGAGATGTCTACCTGGAGATGTCTGCCTGGAGATGTCTACCTGGAGATGTCTCACCTGGGATGTCTACCTGGAGATGTCACCTGGAGATGTCACCTGGAGATGTCTACCTGGAGATGTCTGGAGATGCCTGGAGATGCCTGGAGTGTCACCTGGAGATGTCTTCCTGGAGATGTCTACCTGAGATGTCTACCTGGAGATGTCTGGAGATGTCACCTGGAGATGTCTGCGGAGATGTCTACCTGGAGATGTCTACCAGATGCTACCTGGAGATGTCTACCTGGAGATGTCTACCTGGAGATGTCTCCTGGAATGTCTACCTGGAGATGTCTACCTGGAGATGTCTACCTGGAGATGTCTACCTGGAGATGTCTACCTGGAGATGTCTACCTGGAGATGTCTACCTGGAGATGTCTTCATGTTACGAGATGTCTACCTGGAGATGTCTACCTGGAGATGTCTACCTGGAGATGTCTACCTGGAGATGTCTACCTGGAGATGTCTACCGCAGATGTCTACCTGGAATGTCTACCTGGGGTGTCTACCTGGAGATGTCTACCTGGAGATGTCCTGGAATGTCTACCTGGAGATGTCTACCTGGAGATGTCTACGGAGATGTCTACGGAGATGTCTACCTGGAATGTCTACCAGAATGTCTACCTGGGAATGTCTACCTGGAGATGTCTACCTGGAGATGTCTACCTGGAGATGTCTTCCTGGAGATGTCTACCTGGAGATGTCTACCTGGAGATGTCTACCTGGAGATGTCTGCAGATGTCCGCATGTCTGGAGATGTCTCAGGAGATGTCTCCGGAGATGTCTACCTGGAGATGTCTACCTGGAGATGTCTACCTGGAGATGTCTCAAATGTCTACCTGGAGATGTCTACCTGGAGATGTCTTCCTGGAGATGTCTTCCTGAGATGTCTACCTGGAGATGTCTACCTGGAATGTCTACCTGGAGATGTCTACCTGGAGATGTCTACCTGGAGATGCCTGGAGATGTCTTCCTGGAGATGTTTCCTGGAATGCCTGGAGATGTCTACCTGGAGATGTCTACCTGCAGGAGTTGACTAGTACCTGTGGGAGATAATAGTAACACATTAATACTATTCACACTTAAGTCAAACATTATAAGTGTTAAGTAAGAGCCCTAAAGTAAACCACACAGGGTTGGCCAAAACACACACACAAACACGTTATTTCTTGTTTTAATGTTACTTTATTAGTTTTAGGAAGTTTTAAATATATATAGCCATTTATTTAACTATTATGCTATTGGTCGTAAACATTACATACAGGATTATTTAGTTATTATTTAGATTATTTTATATCTACACAAATCAGTGAAAATAAAAAAATTGGACAACATAAGTTTTGATCAGTTACCTGGATTCTCTTACACACACTTAATACAGAATTCATTTAAGTATAGATAGATCGATAGATAGATATAAATAAATATAAAATATATGTAATTTTTTTAAATATATATATATATACGATAATTTTTTCACTTAACGGCAGCAG